CTCTCTCTCTCTCTCTCTCTCTCTCTCTCTCTCTCTCTCTGCCCTCTCTTTAGTGCGCACACCTCGAGTTTGCAACATGAGAATGAATCTCCCGGTGGCAGTGGGGAGATTCATTCAAAGTTTGTAAACTTTGCAGCGGACCAGAGAGAGAGAGAGAGAGAGAGAGAGAGAGACCGTAAGTTTGACGCAGCCAAAGTCGCCATCTCTCTCTCTCTCTCTCTCTCTCTCTCTCTCTCCGCCCCAGGCGGCCGCAGGCGGGCGCATGAAGTCAACCGGGGTCGTAAAGTTGTCGTTCATTGTAGAAGAAAATGGTTTCTTTGTCTATTTTTACATTTTTTTTTGTTGTGGAAATTGCAGCGACCGGGCATTGGTTTCCACAACCCCCAAAAGTCGCTGCGCGTTAACGGCCGTGACTTTTTTTTATAGCTGGGCGACGTACCGATGGTTAAAATCGAACCTTTCTCCCACCTCCCTTCTCCCAACTGCCCTGACTTTACCAGAATCTAGAATTCAGACTGAAGTCTAAATCATATATATCGTCAAATAGAAGTGCCCGGTAAACCGTAGGCAGAGAGGGAGAAGAGGACAACAAACGAGGGGCTGTGAATCATATGTATCGTCACAAACAGAACTGCCCGGTAAACCATAGGCAGAGAGAGAGAAGAGGACAACAAACGAGGGGCTGTGACAAACTGTTTCGTCGGAGTTTCACCGACTCATCAGGAGGCTGAACCCTATATAAATATATATTTGGCTAGCTCAGTTTTGAAGCGAAACCAGGCAATGCCCCCGGCAATGGATGTTTTGTTCTTCTGTTACTTCCGGGTAGACTGTGACGACCCCGGCCTCAATCACACTCAGGGCATACTCACACTAGGCCCTCAAAATCGCAAAATCCCAAAACGGGCGGCCAGATCTAGTCCTTCCTTTACAAGAACCCACAGGGCAGTCCGCATTTCCGGGATGCCGCGCATACACCGGAGGAGGGTTAGCGGTAGTAGCGATGTGGGCGAATGAAGAGGTGGATGACCCCCCCTGAGGACGATCATCGCGAGGTGATCTAAACCGGTCGGGGATCCGCACTTTTTCGAAAACAGAATTAATGTTTTTCAATCATCGTGCTCATGTGTCGTGTCCCCGACTTATGTTCGCGTGCATGAATGTGTGCTTACATGTGATTTCGCAACTTCGAGGGTGTTTTCGCGTACATGTGATTTCGCAAGTTCGAGGGCGAGGGCATTTTCGCGTGCTCATGCTTCGTTGACCACTCATGGAATGTGTTTGTCACATTTTCTTCATAACCTTCCTTTACGAGGACTCGATCTGGCCACTCATTTTGTGACTTCGCAAGTTGTAGAGGGCATAGTGTGAGTATGCCCTCCTCAGTTGGGATGGGAAGGACCCGTTTTTGAGCAGGTGCAGGTCCCCACAAATAGAAAGGTCTCATTAGCAGACGCAGAGAGGATTGGAATAAGAACCTGAATGCGGACTTCTTTACGGAGAGGTGCAGAAAATCGCAATTGATCTGCTTTTCTGTATCTCTGCATAAAGGACATGCAGATTCAGGCTCGCATTCCAATCCTCTTTGCTAGTGGGGACCTCCCTCGCTCAAGGTAATTCATAATTGCTTTACTCTGTTCATCTGATTCACATCTACAGGAATCGAACTTTGGGTCTGGGCCTGGATTTAAACAGTCCATCCCACAATAATTCTAACAAATTATTTTGCCATAGTGACTTCGGGCCTTCGGCAATAATAGAACAGTTTTTCACAATTATTTCTCCAAAACGGGCTTTTGTTTTTTACCCTGGTTTTTCTTCTTTTCCCTTCGTTTCTTTTTGCTTTTTTCTTTTTTTTTTTCCTTTTTTTTTTTCCCCTTCTTTTCGTTCTGCTGTTTTGGCTTTTTTTCTTTTTTTTCTTCCTTTTTTTCCCTTCTTTTCTTGTCTCTTTTTTTCTTCCTTTTCCCCCCCCTTCAAAACAGCGACCGCCTTGAGATATCATCTTTTCAGAAACTGACCGGGGGCCAAGTCCGACTAGCAGCGTTGAGTTTCCCTCAACGCCCGAATCTGGACGTGTTTGCGGACAAGTGCGGTTGAGGAAACTGGACCACCGCCATTTTCTGCACATCTCCACAAACACGTCCAGATTCGGGCGTCGAGGGAAACTTTCTTTTTTTTTTTTTTTTTTTTTTTGGCGAGGGAAACTGGACGCTGCTACTCGTTGGACTTGGCCCCGGCCTCAGTAATAAATTCACTCATCTGATTCGACGATTGGAATTCGAACTCAGGTCTGTGCTTCAGCAATTCACTACCGTCTTCCCCCGAGCACAACGCACCCTTATTTTGGCTGCATCCGGCCGGAAACATAGCTTGTATACATTCTTTTTTAGGGTGCGTTATGTTCGGGGGAAGACAATAGTGCTCCAACTGAGCTCGGCCAGCTGGTCCAGAACGACTTTTTTTTTCTTTACTTGGTTCGTCTCCACAACGACTTCGGGGACCATGTCCCACTCACTAGCTCCGTTGAGCTACCGTCTTCCCCCGAACACAACGCACCCTCATTATGGCTGTACCGGACCGGAAAGATCGCTTGCATACATTCATTACCAGGGTGCGTTATGTTCGCAGGAAAGACGGTAGGTCTACGTTCAGTTTTCGACGCTGTGTGACTGACCGTAGGCGACCCCGGAGATGAGATGCACGTCGTCCGAGTCATCTAGCGGTCCATTTCTTTCTAATAAAAACGGCGATATAAAAATGGCAGTAGAGTCTATCGTTCCTTCTTTTTTTTCCGTTCCTTCTTTTTCATACAAACTACAACAACAAAAACACACAAAGTAAGGGTCTCGCTGCACTACTCTCGAAATGTGCAAAACGAGAGTGAATCTTCCGCTAGAATATGGAAAGATACACAGCCAATATTTTTGTCTTTTGTGCATGTCGAGAGTAGTGCAGCGAGGCCCTAAATCCTCCCTTCTCTCGAAATACCCCTCCCCCTACCCTCTCCCCCTTTCCGTTGACGTCGCTGTCTCCCTTTTTTTTTTTTTAAGACCGCCAGCTCAACGACCATGGTGGCAACTCGGCATTTTCGGCTGTGGACTTGCCCGCATACCACTCCAATTGTGAAAAAAAAAAAAAAAAAAAAAAAAACAATAACCAAGTGTATCCCCACCATTCGTAATTGCATTTCTCATTTTCAATCCAAGTACAATGAACAGTTTCAGCTGCCACACCGTCCACGTCCCTCAAGTAAACGCAGCAAGTGGGGGACATCATGGTCCCACCGCCGATCATCATCCAATCGAACCAGCAGAGTTCCACTGGGACATGCTCCCACTCCGGGCTTCTTTTTTTTTTTTTTTTTTTTTTTTTTTTTTTTTTTGGGTTGGCGGTGCCGCAAGGCGGAGTCTGGGGAGAAGCCCGGAGCATGGTCCCACTAGCAACGGGGAGTGGATTAAGATCCGGAATCTGGGCGTGTTTTAGGCAGAGATGCAGAAAAGGAGTTCAATCTCAAAATTTCCTGCACTTGTCCACAAACGCGGCCAGATTCAGGCGTTCAATCCAATCCTCTTTGCTAGTGGGACCTCGCCCCAGGAGTCTGAGGAGAAGAGCCCTTCACCCAAAAAAAACGCGTCGGAGAAATGTCGATGAAGTTTCAAACTTCGAACTGAGAACTGTACATGCGGAGAAGTAAAATGCATATAAAAATAAAAATAAAAATGCATATCTATCTACCGATGCTGGCTTGTACGAGAAGCAAGCAAGTCGATGGCCACTGTTTTTTTTTTCTCTCCACTATTTTTCCCTTTCACCAAACTACCGTTTCACCCGAATAGAACGCCGGGGCATTATGGTTGCATCTGGACTGAAAGTGCGGCCAAATGCAGCTACAATGACCGGGTTCTATTCGGGTGAATAGGGTAGACCGTTCCAGCAATAATTTCGGCAATCATTCAGTCGTTTGGCCTGTAATGGGAGGGGCATTCCGTGTTCCGTCGTGGGAGGAGGCTTCAATACGGATACAGGAAAAAGAAAGAAGGAAAAAAAAAAAAGGACGAAAAAGATGTTGGGGATCTCGCCGAGATTGTGACTAGAAACAGGAATCCTTCCACATTGGTAAACATAGAGTTGCCAACTGAAACAGGGAGCGAAAGGGTGAGAATGACTTTGAGGAATACATAAAGCGAAACTTCGCGGGTTCCAACAAAAAAAAAAAAAAAAAAAAAAAAAAAAAAAAAAAAAAAAGAGAAACTTCGTGTTTTTTTTTTTTTTTTAGTCGTTTGTCAGATTTATGGGTGTGGTACGGAAACTGAGATGTTACCAACTGGCTTACCATTTTCACCCGAATAGAACGCCCGGTCATTATAGCTGCATTTGGCCCAGCTTTCAGTCCAGATGCAGCAATAATGACCGGGCGTTCCATTCGGGGGAGGACGGTACCTCAGTTGGTACACCCCTGAACTGTTGAAATTCAGACCTGAGTTCGAATCCTGCTAGGGTGCAGATGAGTAATATGGTATTCTGAACAATTCTGAATTAATTGTAGTATTTTACTCATCTGCACCCTAGCAGGATTGCATCGCCACACCAATGTCGAAAACTTAATTTTCGACATTTTCTCCTCGCCACACAGCATGTCGAAATCCGAGATGCAAAAAAAAAAAAAAATCAGGAGCTGTCAGGGAAAGGGTTTCGACACCTTTCCTCTCGGGAAGGGCTCGTTTCCACTTCAGGCCTGCAACTTGGACATTTTCAACAGTCCTCGGATGGGGGGATGAGGAATTCTTGCCCGAATGTCGAAAAAGAGAAGGCACCAACGCTTGTCCTATCTTCACCCCAGTTTGTCTCTTTTGTGCACAGGACTTGTGAGTTCTTCACTTCTACATGCTGTGTGGCGAAGAGGGGTTTTCTGTAGAAAGAGGGAATGTCGAAAATCTCCTGACATATGTCGAATTTCGTGATGTTTCGACATTGGTGTGGCGAGGCCGTTACCTAGGATGGTCAATTCGACTATGACTCTCTCAAGATCATCCTTTTCAAAAAAAGACAAAAAAGTCACAAAAAAAAAACAAAAAAAAACTGAGATGTTACCAGCTGGCCGAGCTCAGTTGGGGTACACCCAGATCTGAACTGTTGAAATACAGACCCTAGTTCGAACTCCACTGGAAGCAGACGAAGCAGATGAAATAAAATACTGCAAAATTGAATTACCTAGGTAGGGACGGTCAATGATGATATCTCAAGGCCGTTGTCCTTAAAAACATTAATAATAATAATAATAATAATAATAATAATAATAATAATAAAGTGGGATCTTGGCGGGTTTTTTTTTTTTTTTTTTTTTTTTTTTTTTTTTTTTTTTTTTTTTTTTTTTTTTTTTTGGCGGTTTGTTTTTGGTCTGGAAGTTTCGGTCTCTCTTGTCTTTCGAGCAATTTGCGTGAACTGTTTTGACGGGAAAACTGTTTTGGCGGGAAGGTTTTGTTTTCAGACTATGATAGGGCCCTGCCCAGTTTCGGGGGGTGCTAACTGTTGAAATACACACCTGAGTTAGATCTCCACTGAGAGCAGATGTGACAAGTTCAATTTTTTTTATTTTTGTTTTTTAATACTACAATTCTGAACTATCTAGGGGTCGGTCAGCTCAATAACCATATCTCAAGGCCGTTGCGCTATTCAAA